CAAAAATCCGAGAAGGCCCCACTTGGACGAGGTTGAACTTAAGCAATAAGATCTCCCGAAGCGTTTGAGCTGGACTACCGCCGCTTGTTCATTTGTTAGTAAACTGTACCCACTCCTCATCTTCGGCAAATGTGATGGATGGTCAATCGTAGAATCCCTAGTAAGTCGACTTGAACATAACGGTGTCAGATCGTGTTTGGAGCTGAATCGGGCTCAAGGCACGTGGGGACCAAACTCTACATTTTCGGATCTTCACAAGTCTTTGGAGATGCCACCACAGTGCTGTCTCCTTGTCGCATCGGAATCGCTCTAGCAAATGATCGATACTCTATCCAGATCCCTTTTCAACGGCGTCAGATAGAGCATCGTGATTGTCAGTCACAGGGTGGTTGGAGTGTGGGTTATTTTCAAATAAAAAAGTCAACGCTGAGCAGAGTGAAGCGCTGTTGCACCGTGGTTTGAGAGAGCATGCCCACTTGCCCATCTTCTGGCTTATCCTTGGTGTAGCATGACTTGCGGAACATTCCAAGCAGTACTCGTAAAAATTAAGGGCACCGAGAGCCCTCTCGCGAAATCGGTGTAATATCCATAATAAGTAAGCAGACAACGAGCTGGACCGTTGGCTGAAATTGCAAAGGTTGATGCTACGTCAGGAAATATGTTGCGGATTTTCAGGAGTTCTCCCTAAAATTCTATAGCATTAAATGTAGTTTGTTGCAAGACTTATGGACCGACCTAATAGTGAAACAACGTATAGTGGCACTGCTGGGATTTTTCCTAGCATCCTCCTGCTGCTCGATTTACATCGTTTGTAAAGTGAATCGGTGAGCGAATAATCCCTCAAGCATACGCAATGAGTGGTACTGTACCATTCGTCTAATCTGAGCTTGTCCCTAGATGCTCCGTTCGTAGCGGCTTTCTGCTTATTGATTTTGGATTCATTAACTCTCACGTTTTTCTCGCGCTAGGCAAAAGCCATATATATTTTATTGACTATTTCATATGTGTCTCGAATCAATTACAGTGGCTGTTTGAAAGGCGAATAAATTGTTTGCATTCAGATGGACCGAATGGCAACAAAACGGCCTACTCCCACCATCGTCTTACATAATAATAAATAATTGAGGGAGGCAGTTTTAAAAACAAGAACCAATTGCGTGCTAGTTGTTAGTTCGGTACAACATTTTGAGAACTTTCCTTACCAGAAATTGTATATACGAATGAAAGACTATTACCGACATGGAAATTGTTGTAAACTGGATTGACGGTTTTGAAAAAGTTTATGATTTCGGTAGGAACAAATGATTAAGAAGATGCTGAGTTTCAAAAGTGATGGCTCCTAAATAAGGACAAGATTATCTCATCGCTAGTCACTAAATCTTTAGGCAGCGACACTACGCACACTGGCCCCACCATGCGTTCCGGCTAGATCAAAAAATGAAAAAAAAAAAATTAAAAAAAGAATGTTCTGGGATGTCTCGGTAAAAATAATGAAGTTTCAGGGTAACTCTGCTTATTTGAGGAACGCTCTTCAACTTGTCCTTCCCTTTCTGCTAACTTCTATCCACATTTTTCCGGTCTGTGGGAATTTTGTCACTACGAATTATCAAAGATTCATTCTATCGCTTGGCTTCTGAAAAAGCTAACGGTTCAGCGACATTTTTCCTGAGTCATTTTTTTCCTTTAGTATTCCTTCATGTAATCTGAACTGATGTTTGGATAAATTTTTCTGAGAATGACAGGTGCAGGCCCCGGAATCGTATAGGTCGCGAGCTTTGACCGCTTGCTGGCAGCTCCAGAAACCGCTTAGTATTTTCAGACGTAATTCACACTTGATCCGAAGATGAAACTACTGACAGAAGCATCAAAGTAAGTGTTTTCGGTTCAAAGTCCACCTGAACGCTAACCATGAAGATTTTTCTGCATCGAACCCATTACTAAGGGCTGCCCAATGACGGTCTCTGAAATTGCAACTTCGGAAAGCGACTCGGTATTCCCTCTTCAACTCTTTGAACATGTTCGGTGCTCTCAAGGTTCAAGCACACGTCTCTGGGATTGCGAAAAGTGGAAGTTCAAGAACTGTGCACACTCAGAGGATTGGGCAATCACCTAGAAGAGGATGGCTCACAACGATGAAGCCAGCGTGAGTCACATCGCTTTTGATCTCAGGATCTGCCGAAGCATTAGGTATTTGAAGGGGTTACCGACTTTTTCTATGCTGGTTTTATTGGAGCAACCCGAATAGATTCAACTGATAAAATGCAAAAAGTTTCTGCACGAGCTCGAGGTGCGCCGCATCTCTCTTACGGATTGGGTTAATGAGAAAATTTTCGAACTAAACTTCTTTGCGACCACCAAAGTCAGAGGCAGTTGTTGCCAAAAAGTGAGAGCAAGTCTCCGAGATAACGTCTAGTTTACAACAGACTTTCTCCCGAAGGTGTGGTAGTTTGTGACGGGGTAACATCCAAAAGTGCAGCTCCATTGGAGTTCATCTTCCACAAATGTTAAAATTAACTCGAAGGTCTTGCAAAAGACTTTAATGAGGTACGGTATGTTGTTCTGGATTTACGAGCATTTTGCTCAATGATCGTTTGCTCTTCAATGAAGCTGGGCTCCCTAATACGCGTTCAAATCGACCAAGCCATCCTGGGCGCTCACTTCCCGGGCCACTGGAGCAAGGAATTGTGACCTTCTCCCTCTCAGGCCCTTAACCCAGTGGACTCCTCTATGTGAGGATGTTGTAGAGCAAGACCTCAAAAGACTTCTACAGCTCGGCGGGTGTTCTGAAATTAGGGCTTCAGAAGAGGTGGGACGACAGGTGTGGTAGTGTGGTAGTTAATAACGGGGTAAGATCCAAAAGTGCAGCTCCATTGGAGTTCATCTTCCACAAATGTTAAAATTAACTCGAAGGTTTTGAAAAGGACCTCAATGAGGTACGGTATTTTGTTCTAGATTAACGAGCATTTCGCCGTTGGCTACCTGCGGTGCACTGCTGATTTTGTCGTTGGACGTCAGAAGGCCTCTCTCAAAGCAGAGTCGTCAAATTCAAAGCACCTGCACAAGTGATCAAATAGCTTAACTCTATCTTTGTGTGAAGTCGGTTTCCTGATCGAGTCTCTTTCTTGGCTTTTACACACAAAAACATGGCGTCCTATACTTTTCGGCCACCCTGTATGTCGATCTGCATGATCCAAACAAGCCGATGGTTGGTTGAATGTAGCCTAACAATGCTAACCAGTTGGCGACGCCCTGGCGACGTTGCGCGTACAACACGGTTCTGCGGCGATATGGAACGGTGCGACAAAAATTCTCAAATTTAGCCCGATACACCATAAATATTCGACTTGTTCCTATCCACTTTCTTCTCGGTCTCCGTACTACCTCTGAGTCATTTTGCGACCTAGTGTTTAGCTCCGCCCACCACGATGTATGCCCCACCCACCGATAGCTTTGACCTTCCCTACTTGCTCATCCATTGTCCGCTTTTCTCCGGTCTCACGGGAAAAAATGGACGATTTTAGAGCAATTCATGATGCTCTTGGTAGACTTCCCTTATGTCGGTGCAGGTCGCCCACCATCATTTTACTTTCTTTCATGGCCTACCTCGGCCCACGTTTTTTCCCGGTCTCTGGACTGTCCCTGAACAGATTTAAAGGTTTGGTGGCAGCGTTAGCTCATTTTGGTGCATGCCCCGGCCACCAATAATAGTCGTCTTCCTTTCCTTTGCTAATTCACTTTTATCTTGATCACTGGACCGTTTCTGAACCGAGTTGTTTGTTCAGCAACAAAATGTACCCACTTTGTTGCATGCCCAGTCCACCAATAGCAATTGCAATGCTTAGCTAACTAAACCTTTACCAGTTTTGCTCCGCTCGCTATCGCGCGCATGTCAAGTAGGCTCTAATGAACTTAGCATAGCCGGGCTCTTGTATAAGCAACATGCATGCATTCAATGCATTTGACTCATGTTATTAACGAAGAGTCATCACAGTGCTGGTGATAAAGCAGCAGTTTCTCATAGATCAATGCCCTTATCATCTATTATTTTCCGAAACGTAACGTCGTCTAGCGGCCGATTAGACTTGGAATCACTTCATTATCCTACTATATATAATCGGCTAAGCGGTTGTGTGTGTGTCTGTGTGTATGTGTGACCGAAATCATGAGCTCGACCAGTGGTCGTCAAGTTGTTCAAAAGACTAAAATAGGTGGACGAACATATTTGTAAATAAAGAAAGTGATCACAACTGATAAGGGCTGATAAAAGGCGCTAGAACGCAAGTGTCGCGAAATTCATAGCTCGGGCACCAGTGGTCGTCAGGAGTTGGTTTCAAGATATGATATAGGGGGTGGGACGGGAACATATTTGGTGGGGTAAAGAAAGTGATCACAACTGATAAGGGCTGATAAAAGGCGCTAGAACGCAAGTGTCGCGAAATTCATAGCTCGGGCACCAGTGGTCGTCAGGAGTTGGTTTCAAGATATGATATAGGGGACGGGAACATATTTCGTGGGGTAAGAAAAGTGATCACATCTGATAAGGCGAAAAAATCATAAAGAAGAAGAGAACAATAATTGCAGACCATAAATGATTGAGATTGAAGTCGGCAATCGGAATAAATCATGTTTAAATTATTAATAGGCTTCGCCTGAGCTGACCCGAGAACACGAGTGTTCTAATTCGTGAATATCGAAGATCCTAAAAGCATGTCACTGAAACCTAACCCTAGTTTACTTAGCCGCAAAACATTTTTACTGCACTATCGGAAAGGATTCCCATTATCCATCAAAGAACATTGAAGAATACAAAACCGAAATACGGATAGTCCATTTGTTCCATCTACGACTCAAAATCGGAATAGCCTCACGCAGTCCGTCAGTACAAAATTGGACCCCGCACCATGAGTGTATCAAAGACGGCGCCGTTTGTCACATAATCTAAATATATCATGTCATTGGTCCATTTTGTGCCAAGGGGGGGGGTGCGGGGTGGGAGGATGTTAAGCCCGCGGAGGGCCGTAAGAGTCGCACTGAATGGCCGATATCAAGCTTCGCGAATCGACCGATTCTCTACTAGCTTCGCTAGCGTCCGCGGTCGCGTTGCGTTACCAGCCAATTGAGCGATCCGCTGCCCAAGCCGCAACCGCGAGAGGCTGACATCGTCAATAGCAGCGAGAATCGTGGAGATCTCTCTACTAATCATCGATGTTGGTGCAAGCCGCAGCAGGGAAATTTCAATTCTCCGCTAATTTCAGTTCACACTACTTCCACCCATTAGCATTTCACAATAATAGGAACTGAGTGAGAGAATCTAAGGATACTCACCGCGTTTCGCAGCGACGGCTCCTCGATGTCATTTACTTCGACAGAAACGAATCCGTTCTTGAGAGGTGTCTTGTCGTAGCTCTGACCAACTCCAGATTCGAACCTAATAACAAACGATTACTGAAGATGATCAAGAAGCTTGATCGGCCCCCTTAGGAGATCCTCTCACCTTTCCACCAGTTCCTTATGTCTGTCATCTCGCGGGTTAGCAAGACCTGGCGTATATTTCAGTGGATTATTACCGTCTCGTATGACGTAAAGCGGCAGATTGAAGGATTCCACCTAGGACCAGCATGACTGAACTATGTGAAGAAGGACAGTAACGAACATGCCACTTGCCACACGACAAGGGCTCTGTGCATCCTTTCGTTTCTGTCCCTTCGGGCATCCACACAATTTTCCAGCGATACATTCCTCTCCGAGCGCTTCATTACAGAACATCGTCCCGCATGAGGTACCGTAAACCTGGTCTTCGACCTTAAGACCAATCAGTTGTTTAAAATGGCTTATCGATTCGATTTCTGGATCTTGCTCAGAAAGGAACAACTGGACCATCACTAACTTGCAAGGATCCAACAGTGCAAAGTCATCGGCAACTTTCAGTTTGTCGATTCGCCCTCCGTTCGCCTTGACCTGAAATTTTTTTCCATCGTATCATTGCTTATTCAATTCGAACAGCCTTCAACCCCTTCCTGATTACCACAGCCGAGAATTATACAGGGAGGGAACGAAGGGGGGGGGGTGGCTGAAGAGAAGAGTCAACTATGGACACTTGCTTGGACAAGCATTCAGGAGAAACGTTTACACTCGACCGGGCCAAAACAGCCCATGAGTTGCCATCACAGCCCTGTGGGATTTCCAACCTCTGCAAGACATCTCACCCTCTTCTCGAGAAAGATCTCATATGGATGAGGGTAAAAGAATGGGGCGAGAAATTTCCCTTCCTCAGAACAAATTTAATCTCCATTCCACCAAATACAACCCTCATTTGAGAACAAAAAACAAGAAGATCAAATATGCCCACTTTCTCCGGAATATACCCCCTTCAACCTGCAATAGCCCAATAGCTGATCGTGCTCACAGCCCGCTCTCTGTTGCCTTTTTTTCACAGTGGACTTTTGAACATCTTCTCTTTGCCATGTGCTCCCTTCGGATCTCCCAAGTATACCTGAGCAGCGAAATCCTTGAACAGCTTGCATTTGTCGACATCTTCATTACCGGACAATTTCACGGTGCCATTTATGAGAAGTCCACGATCCCATGTGCTGAATTAAAAGTAGACATGGGTTGCTGGTGGCTATTTCGGTAATCGATTGCCCTTATCTTCTTAAAAGCTCTATTTGGAAGCACAGCGATGGCGAGAGCTGTCATATTTTGACATGGTTTAATATTAGAAGTTGGGATTCGTTAGGTGGATGTGAGACTTGGCGATTGTTCGATCGCACAGCGACAGGGGTACCCCCGAGGAGGCCCGTCGCGCGACAGAAGGCGATTCAGGGACGAGTATTGCGCGTACTGCAGGGATTTCGCGTCAAGTTAAATAAAATGTTCCATTGTACGTCCTACATCGCTCAGGCGCTGCGACCCGTCCGCAACTCTGCCTTCTTGTGTCGCGAGGCCTCATGAGGGGTACCCCATCGACAGCGATAGCGCGCCCAACATACCGTAACAGATCAAGGAACGACACACCCTTCCACCGTAACCCTGTCGTGCACATTTTCAACGAAGGGGGTCGCGCTTGTGGTTTTGAAAAGAGAGGAGGTCGTATTTTTGGTTAAGTAAGTCCAAGTACCTGTGCAAAATGGCAGTAAAAATTGTGTTGCGATGTGCGGGATTGACGTGGTCTTCCAGGATGAGTTGGGCGAAGTTTTGCCAGAGGAGGGTAAAGTTGACAAAATTTGTAGATTTGACGCTTTAGACCGATCCCCCCCCCCCCCCTTCCCGATTGCGGTTTTGGGGGGGGAAGTGCGGATGACGGTGATGTCTCGGACAAATACTCTCCGAATAATAAAAACCATTCGCGGAAGGGGGTGGCGGGAGAACGCCGTACATAAAGTCATATTCGATTATCCTATACATAATACCGGAGTAGTACGTTAGCTTTGGGATCCTTAGAGGGGTGGTCACAAAATCACGAATTACATACAAATTACAGGAATTACGCCTTTTTACTGGGTATAAATGTGTAAGTGATTACAGGAATTCGTTAGCTTAAAACTGTGTTTCCTAGCATTCAACGCAAGAATGCAGCAAAGCCATACTTAAGACTTATTTCATCAAAAACATACAAGCTTCTCAATTATAGGAGAGGAAGATGTCAACAGTTTTGCGTGGGTACGGAAGGCGGTGACTACGCACTTTAAATGCTACACATCGCTTTTGATTGCTAACTGCTGTTTTTTTTGCTGTTCGCCATTAAGTTGTCACAAAAAAGTTACGAATAGAACTTTCCGCCTCAGGCGGTAATATAACCCCGCACTCACATCCCGCGCAGATGTGCTACCGATTAGACCCCAGCGATGGCACCGGTGAACCAGCTCATCGCATTACACTTCAGCTGAGTCGAGAAATCCTCGAGATGTACTGTGTGTCGAGAGTGATCGTACGCGCGCAGAACGTCGGCAGCGTCTTCCGCTAGAGCTATACAAGTAGACAGCTCGCGCAGAGCGAGATTGTGTGCACGCGCGGGGAGGAGTGTCAACGAGTTGTAGACAAACCCACGACCGAATTACACCCTGCTTCAAACTAATCCAGCTTTTGATAACGCGATCAGCACAGCTTATCAGTATCATACGTATGCCGCTGAGCCCTGTCATTGTCCTTGGATCGGTGGCCCTAACACTCGGGAACGCGCGAAGTCGCGGTATTCGGTCCTCCTGGATGCTCAAAACCCAACGCTCTCCGTGCTACACACTTTTCCTCTCGTGCATGGCTACACAGTGCAACAGAGAATAGATACTGGAATTTGTGTGATCCCAGAATAACGTAACGCATAATTAACACACTGCAACGTATAATGAGATACAATCAGTTCGGTGAAAGTTGCATCGGCTGATGTGAGTTGAAATTGCAGAATTCTGAGGACAACTGCTACCACAAGACCGCCCCTAATTTTGTCAATCGGCCGAACTTTCTGTACGCAAAACCGTCGTTTCTTTCACCCCTTATGAAAATATGGCAAATGCTATAAAATTATACTCCCTCGATAGCACGGTCAGAACAATCTAAAGATCGTAGCGAACGCCAATTTCCTTCGAATCTTACGCGCTCATTTCACGGAACGAAGCGCTTGATCTCTCTGCAAATACAGTACCTGCGTCAATAACACCATGCTAACACCTCCAGGGCTAAGGATTCGAACAACATGTATCCGAAGCTGAAATGTACATTTTGGAAACAAACTTGCATCCGCGAATCATTCGACCGATCTCCAACGTGATTTCAACAAACTTCAATGTAATTTAAGTTCACGATCTCTTATCACTGACAGCCTCTACCGGTTGTGGAGAGCTACCTGCGGACCCCAGGTGGCGATAAGAAATCGCAATCGCGGGACCAAAGCCACCATGGCTTGCCCCCTAGACGCAGGTGATCAGGGGATACCCCTGTCTCGCAGGCTGTTGAACACCAGCTGTCCCCCACTCAGCCATCCATCCATCTTGCGTGGCGCCTGCTGGTGCGGTTGGTATCCTGCATGTCGGCACAGCCAAAAGCTTGCATTCAAGTGACTGGGAAGTACATGGGAGGCGATTCGGGGCCGCCTCCAAGAAATAAGCCCCTTGTTCCGCTCCAGGATAGCGTGGCTAACTACCTGGAGGTCTATCCTAGCCCGCACGACAGAGCCTGGCAAGCTACTCGTGTGCCTTCAATATGCCGAAAACAGCAATATGGATGGGCCTCATTCCCCTGAACCTGAGGGAGCCCCCAATACGGCAGCGTTGGGTAGGACCGCTCGGGAGAGGCTGCTAGAATCTCAGGGCCCGGATAGGCTGCCTAAACGAAGAAGGACTAAGATGGCGATCTGTACTTTCAACGCACGAACGCTTGCATCCGAAGCTCACATCGAAGATCTGATGATGCAGGCCAGGAAGATCAAGTACGACGTCATCGGACTGACCGAGACGAGAAGGCACCGCCCGCTACACGCCGTTTTCGATACTGGAGAAGAACTGTTCCTTGGAACATGCGACAGCAGAGGCGTTGGCGGTGTGGGTGTCCTCGTCAACACGCACTTGGCCATAAACATCGATTCGTACGAAAGCCTTACGACCCGAATCGGACGTTTGAGATTGAGAAGATGTGGTTCAACTCCTGCTTTGACAATCTTCGTCGCCTACGCACCAACATCCAGCTACGACGAAGAAGAACACGAAGCATTCTATATGGAATTGGAGAAGTTCTACAGGGAAGATCATACCTTCTTCAAGGTCATCGTCGGCGACTTCAACGCTAAGATTGGCCCAAGAAGAACGGCTGAAGAACTTCACATCGGTACTCACGGAATGGAATGGAATGAGCAGGGTGAGAGACTGTCGGAGTTTATCATGTCGACCAACACCATCCATGGTAACTCACAGTTCCAAAAGCCCCTCACCTTCGTTGGACTTGGGAGTCACCTGATGGACAGTTCCATAACGAGATAGACCACATCATCTTCAATCGAAGGTTTTGCCTGACCGACGTCGCTGTTGTTCCAAAGTTCTACACGGGATCGGACCATCGTCTCCTCCGCGCAAGATTCCACTTCTCGATGCGTGTTGAGAGAGCAGCAAAGTTCAGGAAGCGAAGCCCCAGGACAGTCATCAACTGGGACCACTTCGCTTCCCTCGTCAGCTTATGGGAGGATTCCGTCATCGAAAACATCGACGAGGAGTACTATCGGCTCGTTGAACATCTCGTAACGTCGTGGCAGGAGGCAAGGCAGAGAGTTTGAAAGTCACCAAAGGACGTCTGTCTACGGAAACTCTCGAGCTGATACGCCAACGTGGAGCCGCACGAGCTGCAGGCAATCACCAACTCACGTCCGAGCTTGCGAAGCTATGCAGAGAGGCGATAAAGGAAGATCTCAAGGAGCGAAGAGCAGCAGTATTAGCTGAAGCAGCAGAGGCTGGGAGGAGCATCCGCAATGCCCGCCGAAGCTTTGCCAGCTACAAGACCAAGATGACCTGCCTCCGACGTCCGGATGGAACAGTCACTGCATCCCGAAGGGCAATGGAGAAAGTCATCCACGACTTCTACTCGGATCTCTTCGATAGCCATGTCCATCTGCCCACTTATCAACTGCAACAGGATGGATACGTCGTCCCCTCAGTTCTCTCTTCCGAAGTCGACACGACCATCACCCCATCGGTGACTAGAATCGCAGCCCGCACCATCTGAACAGGTCAAAACCGGAACATCTGAAGAATGCGCCGCCAGTCATCATCAAAACTCTGGCTCGACTCTTCACGCGCTACCTGTCGGAATGCAAGGTACCCACTCCGTGGAAAACCAGCAGGACCGTGTTGCTGTACAAGAAGGGAGACTGGACGACATTGGCAACTATCGCCCAATCTGCCTGCTGTCTGTAATCTACAAAGCTATTCACTCGAGTCATCCTTAACAGGATCGGCAGAATACTAGATGAAGGACAGCCATGCGAGCAAGCAGGGTTCCGAAGAGGGTTCAGCACGATCGACCATATCCACACGGTTACAAGACTCATTGAAGTTTCACGAGAGTACAAGATGCCGCTTTGTCTCACGTTCATCGACTTGAAGAAGGCCTTCGACTCTGTGGAGACAGAAGCGGTCATCGAAGCCTTGGGCAACCAGGGCGTCCCTACTCAGTACATCAAGATTCTTCGTGAGCTCTACAGCAACTTTACGACCAGAATCTCACCATTCTACAAGGAGGTCATCATCGACGTCAAGAGAGGGGTTCGACAGGGCGACACCATCTCGCCCAAACTCTTCAGCGCCGCTCTCGAGAACGTCATGCGTCAACTGGAATGGGAAGACATGGGAGTGAAGGTCGACGGCCGGCAACTACACCACCTTCGTTTTGCTGACGACATCGTTCTTATAACGCCGAACATCGAGCAAGCGGAGCGAATGCTGGCTGATTTCGACTGCGCCTGTGGTAAGGTTGGTCTACAGCTGAACCTAACGAAGACGATGTTTATGAGAAACGGATTGGTTCCTGATGCCCCATTCACGCTCAACGGAACGAACATCACCGAATGCTCCAGCTACGTGTACCTAGGTCGGGAAATCAATATGATGAACGATCTAGCTCCAGAGCTGAGCAGGAGGAAACGAGCGGCTTGGGGAGCGTATAAGAACATCGAGGGAGTAGTGAAGAAGACGAAGAACATCCGGCTCCGTGCCCACCTCTTCGATTCCGCTGTCCTTCCTGCCCTAACCTACGCCTCAGAGACTTGGACTCTGCGCAGGCAGGACGAGCATGCGGTCAGCGTTATCCAACGCGCTGTCGAGAGGACGATGCTAGGAGTAACCCTATACACGCAAGTGCAGAGGGGAATCCGGAGTGCCGAACTACGCCAACGATCGAAGATCAGGGACGCTGCCGTTTTCGCCAAGGAATCGAAGATAAGGTGGGCCGGACACGTCATGCGATTTTGCGATGACCGTTGGACCAGAGCGGTTACCGACTGGATCCCTCGGGACGTCAAACGAACACCTGGACGACCGCCGGCCCGATGGTCAGACTTCTTCA